GGGGGGGGGGGGGGGGGAGTAAGACAGAATGTTGAAGCATTATGTAGGGTAGATGAAAAGCAGAAAGTTTATTTCTAAAAGTTCAACCACAACAAACTCAATAACCGAATTATAACTTTGTATTACGAAATATAACTCAAAAGTGACAATATATAACAAAGAAAAACAAGATAAGAGATATAGAGGAAGAGAGATTCTTATTTTTTTTTCAATTGTGTCTATTTTCCTATCTATTATAAGGCCTTTATATAGACATGAAAAGTGAAGAAACATATGTCATTAAATATGCCATTAAGCATAAAAATATGTCATTTATCATTTGAGAAGATCATGGAGGAAGAGTAGACATCCACCATAATTTGATTTTTGTTGTAACACTCTCCCTTGGATGTCCATAGATAATGTGCCTCGTTAAAACCTTATTAGGAAAAAACCCTGTGGAAAAAAAAATTCTAGTGAAGGAAAAAGAGTACACATGTTTAGAAATACGCCTTTTGGTTGCCTCGTTAAAAGCCTTGCAAGGAAAACTCGGTGGGACAAAACCTTGTAAGGAAAAAAGAGTACAACGCGTATTAACTCCCCCTGATGAGAGCATCAATTCACATCCTTGAACCTTCGCATCCCAATCTTGTACACTAGTTTCTTGAAGGTTGACGTCGGTAGAGATTTGGTGAACAAACCAGCCATATTATCACTTGAACGGATCTGTTGTACATTGATATCACAATTCTTTTGAAGATCATATGTGAAAAATAACTTTGGTGAAATGTGCTTTTGTCCTATCCCCTTTTATGAATCCTCCCTTCAATTGGGCTATGCATGTTGCATTGTCTTCATACAAAATTGTGGGTAGTTTGTCACACTTCAAACCACATTTGTCTCGAATAAGATGTATTATAGACCTCAACCATACACATTCTCGACTTGCTTCATGAATAGCAATTATCTCAGCATGATTAGATGAAGTAGCCACGATTGATTGCTTAGTCGATCGCCAAGATATAGCAGTGCCTCCATATGTAAACACATAGCCTGTTTGAGATCGAACCTTGCGTGGGTCAGATAAATACCCAGCATCGGTATAACCAACAAGATCGGGACTGCAATCATTGCCATAAAATAATCTCATATCGGTAGTCCCTTTTAGATACCGCAATATGTATTTGATTCCATTCTAATGTCTCCTTGTAGGAGCAGAGCTATATCTTGCTAAGACATTAACTGGAAAAGTTATGCCAGGCCTTGTAGTGTTAGCAAGATACATTAGTACACCAATTTCACTAAGATATGGTACTTCAGGATCAAGAAACTCTTCATTCTTTTCTTGAGGTCGGAACGGGTCTTTATTCATATCAAGTGATCGAACAATCATCGGAGTACTTAATGGATGTGCTCCATCCATGTAAAACTGTTTCAATACCTTTTCTATGTAGGCAGATTGATGAACAAAAGTCTCGTTTGGTAAATGTTCAATTTGCAAACCAAGACATAATTTTGTCTTTCCGATATCTTTCATCTCGAATTCCTTCTTTAAATAATCAATTGCCTTTTGGAGTTCTGTAGGAGTTCCAATAAGGTTTATGTCGTCAACATATACATAAAGTACAATAAATTCCGATGTTATTTTTTTTATAAAAATACATGGACAAATGGTATCATTTATATAACCTTCCTTTAATAAACACCCATTAAGGCGGTTATACCACATTCTTCCTGATTGTTTTAGACCATACAAAGATCTTTGCAATTTGATTAAAAATATTTTCCTGAACTTCGAATTGTGTGCTTCAGGCATTTTAAATCCCTCGAAAATTTTCATGTATATCTCATTATCGAGTGAGCCGTAAAGGTAGGATGTAACCACATCCATTAAATGCATGTCAAGCTTTTCATGGATAACAAAACTAATGAGATAACAGAACGTTATAGCATCCATAACAGGAGAATACGTCTCTTCATAATCGATATCAGGTCTTTGTGAAAATTCTTGTACAACAAGGCGTGCCTTATATCTCTGTACCTCATTTTTCTCATTCTTTTTACGTACAAAAACTCATTTATAGCCAACAGACTTAACACCATTTGGTGTTTGGACTACAGACCCAAAAACTTTACGTTTCGCAAGTGAAGTTAATTCTGTCTGGATAGCGTCTTTCCATTTTGGCCAATCATTTCTCTGTCTACAAGATCCTCATCTTGTTGCATTATTTCAACAACGACATTATAAGCAAAAACGTTATCGATAACAATATTATTTCGGTTCCATCTTTTTTCTGTTGAGACATAACTTATTGAGATCTCTCCATTCTCATCATTTTCAGGTACCTGAACCTCCCTTGAGGTTTTATCATTTGTTATGTCTCTGTGCTCTTCTTGAGCCACTACCTCTGTATTATGATCACTTTGATCATTTGCTCCTTTTCTTTTTCGAGGATTTTTATTCTTAGAACCGATTGGTCCACCGCATTTCAAGCGTGGTTTAAACTCATTTGCTTTAATTGATTGTCCTATCGGGATATCAACTCGAATTGGAGCATTAGCAGCTAGAATATGTGACTTAGTCACCCTTGGTAGGTCAGTGAATGCATCTGGTAGTTGATTTGTAATATTTTACAAATGAATTATCTTTTGAACCTCTTGTTCACATTGATTTGTTCGAGGATCTAAATGAGATAGTGATAATATATTTCAATCTATCTCCTTTCTCAGCTGCTTATTTTCTCCCCCTAATATTGGGTATACTGATTCATCAAAATGACAATCAG